GATTCATTGTTTCGAAAATGTTACTTCTATTATCTTTTTAGTAGCTTTAAGTGAATATGATCAAATTTTGTTTGAGTCAGAAAATGAGGTAAATATTACTATTAAAAAATTTTTTTTTCTATAGATAATGAAATTATTAATATAATATAAATTATTATTATTATTATTTTTCAGAATCGAATGGAAGAAAGTAAGGCATTGTTCAAAACAATTATTACATATCCTTGGTTCCAACAGTCCTCTGTTATTCTTTTCCTAAATAAGAAAGATTTGCTCGAAGAGAAGATTATGTATTCTCACCTTGTTGACTATTTCCCGGAATATAATGGTAGGTATATAACATTAATGTTTTTTTTTGAAAATCATTAATAATTTAGATTCATGAATAAACTGTGGATATTTATGGAAAATATCCAAAAATCTAGAGAATGCTTATAATATAAAAAATTATAAAATATTTAAAATAATATAAGTTAAAAATAGAAAATATCTAAAATATTTTTCTTATATTTTATAAATATATTTAATATTTAATAAAACAGATATTTATTTATTTTTATTTAATGAAACAAATATTTATTTTAATATTGTAATTGTATTCACAATTCACAAAAATTTAAATTTGCATAAACATCCGCGATCTATTTATGAAATACTATGTATCATTCGTAAATAAAAATTTATTAGTTGATTCAGAAAATTTTTAATAGAAAATGTTATACAAATATATTTCAAAACTTAACAATTAATGAAAATTGCTAGTTTTCACGTATTTTTTTACATTATGCAAATAAATATTATCTTGCACAATAATCATCAAAAAAGTTGCATAACTAATTACAGTTAATATATTTGCATTTTATACAAATAAAATTTATAAATTTACATATACAAATTAAATTAACAAAAATTAAAATAGTTATTATATTATATTATATTATATTATATTATATTATATTATATTAATTATTATTATTATTACATATATCTTTATTATTATATTATTATTATATTATTAGTAGTATTATATTATTACAAATATCTTTAATTATTATTATGATCATAAATTTTACGTCATATTCTATTAATAATTCAAAAGATGTAATTATTTTTTGATACAAATTAAAAAAATTAGATAATTATAAATTAAATAATATTAAAAGTATTAGTAATATTTATTAATAC